AAGAAATTCAAACCCCCCCCCAACAAAAAAAAAAAAAAAAAAAAAAAAAAAACTGTAGCAATTGTCAGAATATTTCTTCAAATGGGTGAAGGATCATAAAACCACCTCCACAGCCATCTACCTATAACAAAGCTCATCACCTGTATATCTAAGATCCCTAGTCCACATCTTTTGGTTGTACAAACTAATTTCCAATCACTAAATTGCTTGCATTATTCTTTTCATCCCACCTATCCGAAAAATTCTCCTTCTAATTCTATCTATTCTCTCAATCACCCATTTGGGAAATAAAAACATTGACATCCAAAACAAAGGGATTGCAGCTAGAACTGAATTAACTAAAGTAGGCCTGCCTCCCTTGGACAAAGTTTTTCCTTTCCATCCGATCAACCTTCTTTCTACTTTATCAATAAAAGGAATCTAATCCTCCTTTAACAGCTTTTTTGGTCTAAGAGGAACACCTGGGCATGTGATAGGAAAAGAGCCGACTTGGCAATTCATCATTCTAGCTATTTGTTGTTGCAACGCATCATGTTTCTCTAAAAAAATCACTGAACTTTTTAGGAAGTTAATTTTCATTCCAGAAATCATTTCAAATCTATAAAGCAATTTTTTCAAAACGGTAATCTGATCTCCATAGGACTTGCAAAAAATTCAACGTATCGTCGACGTACGGCAAGCATAGAACATTTCTAATCCTTGGATCAATCCTTGACTTTCAGCTAGTAACATCATCCAAGTAAAAGTATCTGTAGCAAGAACAAATAACAGTGGGGATAATGGATCCCTCTGTCTAACCCCTCTTTTAGAAAAAATTCATTTCCTCGGTTGCCATTCAAAAACACAGCAGATTTACCTCCATATAACATGACTATAACATGACTTGATCCATGTAATCCATCTATCCCCAAAACCTTTTGCGTTCAAAACTTCAAGAATGAATCTCGAGTCAAAAAGATCATAGGTCTTAGCAAAGTCTAATTTTAATTAGACCCCCACAACTTATTTATGTTGAAGATACTCATTTATTATCTACTGAGCTGCTACTAACCCTTTCTTTCGACAATCTACCCCTAACAAACCTGACCTTTCTTATATCGTTCTACCTCCTCGTCCTTTTCTCATGGCAATGCTATTTCTCTTCAGATTTCTTGTAGGATTTCTATGCCCTTTCTTGTGGTACTATGCTACAATCCTGTACTTCGGCAACTACTACCGCAGAGACCCAAGAGAGCGAGGGGGCCTAGCTGCTTCAGCTATCGCGGTTAGTCTATTTATCTTGGATTCATTAATTCCCCACCCCAACCCCAACCCCAACCCCACAAAAAAAAACCCACACATACGCAGGAAAAAAAAAGTCTTTATTTTTCCGTTGTTTAATTCCTTTGTAGGCACTGGTATGCACTGTTGCAATCTTCATCACGGTGCTTGTAGTTCTTTTCTAGTGCTCTCCATTACAAGCAGGTTCTTGCCACATACTTTCCTCTCCTGATCAGCTTCCCTGTTGCTTCGCAAAGTTGGCAGCAAGAAAATGAGGATACAGAGAAAAGTATGGTGCTGTTGGGTTTCTCTACTGAGGTATATCTTGTATAGTTCAGTTGCTTTGTATGTAATCATGCTCGTAGTATTTGCATTTTACCTGTAAAGACCCACGTTATTTTGATGAAATAATTAGTGCAATGAAAGTTCAATATGATGATATATCAGGACTAGAGTTTTGTTGCTTTTCTTAGTCTGTAATGTTAGTTTTCTTGTATGCAATTCTTCTAATATGAGCATAGGTCACATGCTTTATTCTGTAGCTACCCTCCATGATGCGTGTGGACACTATTGGAGACTTAGCTAGTCAACGGTCGGTGAAAATCTTTAGCGTTAAATAATTTCCCACATGAAGAGACTACTGCGCAAACCATTTAATGATCAGAAAATAACAATTATTAAATTCCCGAACCCTACTTCACAATTCCTAAATCCTAACCTCACCTCCCCTCAATCCTCCTCTTTTGCCCCCCGATCAAGTAAGAAAAAAACTCTCGAAACCTAGCTGGGGAGCAAAAGATTGATGATTTGTTTCCCTGTACCCCTCTCCTGTTAGGACTACATCAACATGGGAACCAACTTCAAAATATGATAGATTTGGGGGCTAATACCATATTGTTAAAGATTTTGGGGATCAATATTTTAAAAACCCTTACTTCCTATAATAAATTAGAATACACGTGCTCTGCACGTGCTTGAGCGAAAGCATTTTGGAAGGTCACATTTTTTTTTTATAGCTGAAAACAAAGTTTGGCGTGAAGGAAGTATGTATGCAAGTAAATGTGCTTTCAAAAATAAAGATGATAAATATCAACTTAGGTAAAAAAAAAAAGATGCAAAAGCCCTTTGAATTAATCAAAAGCATATGCATGTGTAGTATCCCCATGCATTTATCTAAATCACGGGAGTATTTTAAACCCAAACAGCACTAATTAGGGAAAAGTGATGTTTTCTATTTGGTAGAATCTCATTTAGAATCCCAGTGAAGAAAAAAAAAAGAAAAGAAAAAACAGATGACAACTTATCCCATTTCCTAGATTTTTTTTTCCAGAAACAAATGCATGCTCCATGACAATCATAAGTACATACTCTATAACCTTCTACATTTCACCCAATAGACGATGCAGACAGATACCTCGTTATAAAAATAACATAGCATCCTTCCATAATTCAACACCAAAATCAATTTGGTCGTTGCAAACTAATAAGATTACAACACCGTGGCTAGATCATTTTCCCACCTTACCTTAGGATAACATATCAACTACATCCTTGATGCCCACATTTCTTCTTTGCAAAAAGTTGGGAGGGCGCAATGACATATTGATCTATAACAAAAGAGAGAAAAAAATGGCACACGTGCTAATATAGTGTGTACCAATTTATGACAGTTGAGAGCTGTCATGATTTGCTCTTGAACTTCCTCTGTGCTTTCAGATCAATCACAACTACACTTATGTTATCCTTGCTTCCTTTCTGAAGAGCAAGTTTTGATAAATACTCAGCAGCAGCTTGAGCAGCAGGATCAGCCTCTTCACCCTTTCGCAAACTAGAATCTGATGCGATAATACCGTTCTTTTTGTGCCAAAGTGCAATTCTTCTTCTTGCTGCATCACAAACCTCTTCATTCGACATTACATCCCATAACCCATCGCTCGCTAGAATTAGGCAGTCGTCATCTTTGGTTCTTGGAACAACGGTGACTTCCGGATCTGGGATTATCCATGGTTTCAGGTATCTGTCACCTGTAGAAAGTTTCATAGTGATAGAATGTTATAAGTGAATGTTTTGAGATTAGTGACGCACAAATGAATACAGCAATATCAACAGCTGTGGTTCATCTTCGATATTGCAGTCTAAGATTGCTGAGGGTTTTTTCACATAAACCAGTTTTAAAATAGGGCGACCCTACAAAAACCACTTTTAGAGTTCAATCAATACAAAAACCATCTTTAAAGAGGCTCCGATAGCAAGTAATCACCTTGACATATTTTCTGGTGAATTTCCATTAGATCCCCAAAATGGCCTTAGAAACAGACATTCATGCAATAGATTTGGTTAAGAAGACATGTCATGTGCCCGGCCAGCGGCAAGTCTGTTTTAAGGGCATTGTGGGGATTTCAATCAAAATTTCATCAGAAAATAGGCCGAAGTAGTTGGTTGCTGTCTGTATCAATTGAACTTTAAAGGTGGTCTTTATATTGTGACCCCATTTCGATTCGGATGTTTGAATTTACAGAGTTCTGGATCTGTCTGCTTTTGTTTGCATCTATACTCTTTTACCTGGTTGCTTGAGTGGGAAATAACTAACGGTCAAAATAGGAATTCCTACATATAATGCCCTCTCTCGTCCAAAGCTGGCGTCAGTTTGTTATCAGGCTGCAAGTTTTTGTTTGGAATCCTAACTAGACTTAAAGAGCTATGGATTCATAACAGAGAGACTCTTCAACTGTCAACTAATATCAATGCTTTTGCGATTCATCATGACGTGAGCCACTCTCTCATGATTTGACCCAATTCTCAATTTCTGCTCAGGACAAATCATAATAGCCTCTGAATATGGTAAGGATTAGGATTGATGAGGTAAATTCTCCACTCCCTAATTGCAGTCAAGAGGATCCAAATTCTGATTAATGACCAATCCAATAATTGGAGGTAAATGTCTAGATGAGGGCAAGAACAAAGATATGGGTACTGTTTTTGTGGTTTGATAGGAGCTTCAATTTGATTGATGCGTGATATTTCCATGAAGTCTTCTTATGATAAATACTGAACGCCTATGAAGAGAGTTTTGATTTAAGTATCCCTTCAATTTTCTTGTGTTCTTTTTTCCCCCACGTGACTATCTTGATCATTTACCTAAGAACTCTTAACACTATGAATACCATTCAAGAACTGAAATACTGCAGATAGACCGTCTGAGTGATTCTCTCTCTTATACCCTCTATTATACCCGCAGAGAAAATGTTTTTTTTGGACAAATAATCCTGAAGGTAAAAGAGTAATAAATAAATAAATATCACTAAGGGGGTCCATCGGCAATTGGGCAATAGTACAGGGGTTCTATCCGCAACAAACATAACTATCTATCCACAATTGGGTGATAATACAGGAGGTCAATCCCAACTAATCGTATAGAGTATGCTTATCTGTTTATGTTACAAGAGATTTTACAAGAGTCAGATTCATGAAGTAAAGGGTATGAAGCACACACTGGAAACTACAAAAATTTTTACAAATTGTTGATACAAACTGTAAGACAATAGAAAGTACCAAGGTAAACGAGATGAAGATGGGAATAGGAATATAAAAATTGAAGAACGTTAAAACATTTATCAGATATAGTCAACAATTCCATGTCAGAGCACAAATTTTTTTTCAAATCATTCTCTAACAACTGGAGGACAGAACATAAAAGATGAGTTTGAGGGTTACTATCCTTAAAAATTCATTGACCTTAGAGATACATGCTCAGAAATCCCAGAAAAGAAGCATATATTTTTTGAATGGAATCACTGTCTTTAACTTCAAATGATAAGACTTGTGACGAATAGGCATGTGGAGTAAATGGGCATATGGTATTATCTCTACAGCCTACGCATATAGTAGCTATCAATGCACATGAACTAAGTGAACGGACAATTAATCTTCCCCTATGAGAGCTTGCACTTCTCTATACCATCAAACCTAATCACAAACCTCCTCCTTAAATCTTTTTTGTGCAAGGACCTGAGTTTCTTTGTGTAACACTTCATTCATCTCCTATAAACTCATAAATGACTACAGACATCCAAAATATGTTTACAGAAGTCCATGATAAACGTAGTTGTCATCAGTGTTCTTAAAAACGAGCTTCACAGCATGTTCCATAGTGAAGCATCACAAATATTTTGTTCAGGAGCCGGATGGACTCAATGGAAAAAAAGTCACCTAAAACTTAAGCATGTGCTTTCCTATACGTTAAAAATTTCTTTCTACATACTTTCTGCAGCGTACTATAGAAAATGTTACATTTTACACGTATCATTTTATCAACAAACAATATTAAAATTCCTCACCTCTACTTTAAGTCATTTTCTATGAGCCAGGACAAAAGTGCCCCTAAAAAAACAAACCCAAAAACTCTAGATTGTGTAAACAGATGATGATGAAGCATTTTCTTGTGATAACCATCCCCTGTTTCCTAGATAATTGTTAATTAATTTCTATGATTTAGAACAGTATCCATCAGAACTAGCCACCATTTCACCTTTTGATAGAGATACAACCAGATATGGATTGTATCTGATCGCATCAGAATTTGCATCCAAGTGATTGCTGGTTTGATGTCGCATGCACACATACGTATGGAATTAAATACAGATAAATAATCTAAAGAGAATCTGGGTTTTGGTAATAGATATCTAGATTGTTATATGTAAACATTATTTTAAAAAAAATGTTTCAAACCCACTGTTTGAAGTCAATTGATTTGGAGCTATTTACTTTCATAAAAACCGTAGAACACAATACACTCACTGGTATTATCTTAAACCAATGCCCATCCACATTACAAATGGGGAGTATAATTATCTCCATTCTAAATTGAAATTTGAAGTTTTAAGGTTTCTCCTACCTAGAAGTTTTTAGAAAATAAAAAATGGACCACAGAACAAGAACTCTGTTACCTTGGTTAATGCATCTAATATTATGTACATGTACCATCCACATTCACATTCATTTTTACTTGTGCAATTGTGCTTAGTGATGTAAAAAGTGTTATCTAACATAATGCATAGTTTTATTATATATATAAATGTGGACTTTCTAAAAGCAGATTCCAATAGACTACGTGTCATTTAGAGCAGTCACATCTTAAATGATACAAATACCTCCAACCACCACGAGGGTGGGAGATATCCATGTAGCATTACTCCCATGAAATCAGCATCTCAATGAGGAATTCTTGTATCAGGCATCATGTAAACCAAAACCTCTTAACTTTTGGCAAATCACTCTCTATTGTGTATAGGAAAAAAATAGACTTACCAATTGACCTTGACATTGCAAGAACACCGAATACACGATATCCATTCCATTGTATGATTTTCCCTCCTGCTGCTTCAATTCTCGCATACTCATCTTCTCTATTTGGCTGAAGCGTAAGCATCAAATCAATTTCTTGAAAAAAAAATTAAAACATAATCTAATATAAACTGAAAGAAAAGGCAGGTGAACTAACTTTATGATCCACCGATAGAGCTACAGGTAGTTTACCACGGCAAAGCACTGCCCTTGAATCCCCGCAATTGGCTACAATTATATGCGAAGAACAGATAACTGCAACCACGGCAGTAGACCCAACAGTCTCCGGAGCAATAGGTTCGGAAGGAGGGTCACCATAGTCATTTCCCCCCACTTCATCATCGACCTTCTGAAAACAATCAATGAATGTCTTCTCCCACTTCTTCTTCAATCCATCCCCACTGATTTCTTCCGAACATTCCTTCACATTTTCTAGCTCTTCAATCAACGCCAGATGAATCCTTTCGCTGCAGTAGTTAGCAACCTTCAGCATAAAAGAAGCACTCTATGAGAAATATGCAAACCAAGAACAAATTATAGCTCGGCTTATTTTCACTTTGATACTATACCCTTTTTCACTTTGATATCCTAAAGTATTTTTCAAACACCTTGGTACCCCCAAAGTTTCAATACCATTTCACTTTGATGCCCTGTTCAGATTTTGTTAGATTTTCTTTAAATTTTGTATTATGTGCTTAGCATATGATACGTTCAAGTTCATTTTACGTGATTGCTAGAGATCCAAACAATCAAATGCTCCCAATAGCAATATCACATGCTTAGCATGTGATACAAATTTGACAAAATATCTAACTAAATCTGGATGAGGGTACCAAGTAAAATGAGAGTGAATCTTTGGGGTATCAAAGTGAGAAAATGGGTAATCTTCGAGGTTACCAAAGCGAAAATAAGCCTTAAAATTGACAAAACATAAAGATCTAAACCTGAGCGCCACCATGGCCATCATAGACTCCAAAGAAATGAGCAGGCAAAAGAACTGAGCTTGGGTCCAATCCATCTACAACCCGATCACCAGCTACCATCCTCAATGGAATTTCACAGAATCGAGGCACCGCAACCACAGCATCTTCCATCTCTGGCCTCCTCCCACATATAGAAACTGAACCCCAAAGAGGAAAATAATCCAACAAATACACACTTCTCTTCTTTCCCTTAACCTCTGGCTCCTCCACAATTGCCAATGGCAATGCATTTAATGTAGGTCCTACAAGCTCAATGCTACTGCCTGCAATCGGGTTCCCCATCACCGAATCCAAAGCAACTGACCCTGAATCATCATCATCGGGTAAGGATTTCACCTCGATATCATCCACTTCCTCAGATTCACCCAATGAGTCATTCCTCTCGGAGGTTAAAGTATGTGATTCCGGATCAGGCATCAACATACTCGCAGTATCGGTCATCAACTTTAGACAAGCAATATCCATAGGGTTTTCGCACGCTGAGTTGCTTATCCCCAATGGCAAAGCAACTGCCGGGGTCATTTCCTCCATCAATTCTCCCTTCTTAAATTGTTGTTTTTGCGGCGAAAGGTAATAATCAACAATCTCACATATTCTATCACTCCACAATTGAGGTTCCCTTTTCCTCCTCCTCCTCTTCATCACTCTAGAACCCTCTCCAGCCGAATCGATTCACGAGTCGTAATAGGATCCTTCCCCATGACCAGCCAATACAGGAATGACCCAGATCACAAAATCAACCAATCCCTCTCTAATTTTCACAAAATTGAACAGATATGGATGAATCTAGAACTGGGTTTTCTATTTCTTGTGGAATTAAGGACGCTTATCTTTAGAAATCTCAAGATGGTTTGAGAATCACAAGAAAAGGTACCTCTTTTTCTTCAGAGTTCCCTTGGTTTGAAGGAACTCGTGCTAGCCTCTATATATTAAACTAAAACAAAATTTGGTTTTTTTCTTAATTTTGTCCCCTCTCTTTCACACTTCAAGCACATGAAGCAAGTGAGAGAGAGAGAGAGAGAGAGAGAGAGAGCGCTTGTGTTAACTGCTAACCATTGTAATAAATATGAGAAAAAAACTAGAGAGAGAAAGTTGAGAGAGAGACTTACCAGTGTTGCAAAAAGGAATCTTGCTTGTTTCCTCTCTCTCTCTCTCTCCTTCCTCTCTCTAGGATCAGATTTTTTAGTGGGGCTGATAAAAGAGCGGAAAGAGGAAGAAGAAGAGCGAGCAACATGAGAGAGTGGAGATAGAGGGGGAGAGAGGACACGTGTCAGGTGAAGACGGTGTCGTAAAGTAACGGCGGAGTGATCCGCTGTTTGGTGGTCGACCAGCACTCACCGAACCGCCGACCATGACGTGGCGGATTTCTGTTGGGTGTGACCTGGGGACCACGTGAGAAACGAGTGAACGCTGTTGTGAACGGGATAGCGGATCGGTGAATTATTGAAGTGGGTGCTGTACCTTTTCATATCAGTACTTGTCAACTTCTTAAATTTGCTTTCACTTTTCGTACTTCTCGGGGTAATTTTCCCACATTAACAGGAGTTTTTATGTATTTATAATTGTTTTAAGCTATTCTCCTATATATTTGATGAATCATGACTAATGATAGGCCATGTAATTCTTGTAAATGATTTTCTTTGATGTTTTTAGATTATTGAATCATCTTTTTGTCTATAGAATTATTATGATACATAAATAGTTTTATTATCTAAGCTAGTTAAGCATAGACATGTTCTTTAATACATCTCCAAATGGGAGAAGAAAAAAACTCATTAGAAGTTTTAAGATGCTAAAAAGGCATTTCATGTCTATCAAACAAAAAGGCTGTTACTAAAAATATTTTTAAGGAAATGGTTTAATTTATATAGATAAAGTAAGATGGAATGCATTGAGTAATTTTCATAAATTAAAATACGTCAAGTACATTTATGAGAAATAGATGGGTGTACAAAGAGATCTATACACTCACATTAGCCAAAATAATTGTAAGAAGAAGAGCATTGTGGAAATTATTAAAAATAAAATAAAAAAAATAGTTGATAGTTTATATATTATAAGGAGCAGTAATTGTGGAAATTGCATATTTACTCATGAAATAAATACGGAGAAAGTAAACCTCTTAAATTTAAGAGGAGTAGTAATTATAGAGATCTTACTAGCTTTATGTTTATAAAGAGAAATGAGGAACAAAATCACATTGAAGCTTAGCACACAAGGATAAAAAATGAAATATGCAAAACATGGGCAAAATATTAAGGCAAAAAGAGGAGTAAAAAGTAATTATAACAAACTGAAGGAGCATACAAGCATATTCCCTAAAAGAAGAATAAACAAAATCACCCTCCAACTGTAACAAATTAAATTTAACCACGTGGATTCAAAGAATTTGGACTAGCCAAGAACGTCAGCGTTCATTGAACCAAAGTGGGCCCCACCCAGCTTTATTGAGGTCTGTTGACATGGCGCCCACAGGTTTGCTTTTGAGCACAATGTGTACGACCCGCTGTTCTTTTAAAACCCACCCCGGTCGCTGGATCTGCTGTACACGTGGTTGGATATCGCACACGTGACTCAATATCTCTCTTTAATTTTTTGCATGCACGTACATATTAAAAACTAAAAGTTGCAAAAGAACTCCTAAAAAAATGGCCCACAAACTTTATGATTGTCTATGATTTGTGCCTAACTCCATTGAACTTAAAAAAAAAAAAAGAGTTTCAAATAAAAAAAAGTCTTATCTTGTAATAAACAATGTCTTCAGCATGAGTCTATTATGACAGTATCATCGTGGGTATCTATATTATAAGTTCTTGTGGAATCTAAAATTGCAGATAATCTGCTTGAAGCGAGATTTGTTATCCAATCCCATTGTAAATATATTTTGTTCAAGCTATTTTATGTCTAAAAAAATTCTAACCGTTTCTAAATCCTTAGACACATCATATACAGTGATATAAAACATATGAATAATAAAAAAAAAATTGTAAACTTCAACGCATGTAAAAAGACTTGAGTTGAGGGCAGGGGCGGAGTTACATTGAGTCCAATGGGGTCCCAGGACCCCAGTAAAATCTAAATATGTAGCAGATATTACATATAAAAAACATAAGTGCAGCAATGGCCCAGTGGTTTAACACTCCAGGACCCCTGTAATCCACCAGAGTTCGAGTCTGCTGAGCTGCATATTTTCACGATTTTTTTTCTTCCAATTTCTCTTATCACGTAGTACAGACTGTACAATAGTAAACAAACTAGAGAAAAATTAAAACCCTTCCCCTTCCCCACCTTTTCAATGTTCACGTAAAAAAAAAGTCCCTCCAACTCCCTTCTTCAACAATTCTCCAAAATAATTTGTGCGTAAAATCTATATTATCAATAATTTTAGGACCCCATATGTTAAAAATCCTGGCTCCGCCACTAATTGAGGGCTAACATGAAAAGTCAAATGCCGCTCACTGCCCTCGCAGGTAACCAGATCCACTATGGCACAACCGTACATTTCTTCTTCAAATCATGACCATTTAACGACTAAAGAAGAGTTTTTTTTTTTTTCCCCGAAAACACACAGTTAAGAAGACAGCATATTTAACCATTTAACCACAGGTCCACAGCCAACCAAAATTCCGCAAATTTTGCCAAAAAAAAAATTTTAAAAAGAAAAGAAAGGACGCAAGTTTTCTCTGCGCGCATGTGCTAGAGTCACACGTGTCCCATTGTCCACGCCACTTCTACCACCCGCTTCATGACACGTGTCCCCAAAGCCGACAGCGTTGTCGACGTCGTCACGGGGTTCAAGGGACACGTGTCGACGTATTTACGTGCACTACGTCATTGATGCTGACGTCGAGGTTCTTTTTGCGTAAGAATGCATGACACGTGTTGGTATGTGAGTTTGCTCTACCTGCTTTGATACAGCACGCAGGGGAAAATTGTTCTTCAAAGTTGGGTTTCATTAATTTAGTATAAATATAGTATGTATATATAATAATGATTTTGTTCATAAAGTTTGGGTCATGGTGTTTGTTTGCTTCGCTATGTTAGTTGGATGTAATGGGACGACTGGGCCTTGCTTGTAGAGTTGAACTTGTCCCTCATCTCATCTTTCTCTTTTTTTTTTAAAGTAGCATTGTCCTAATTCTTCAAAGCACAAAGTTTTTTGTTTCCATCATACTGATCAAATTATAAGAAATGCACAAAGTTTTTTTTGTTTCTATCAAATTATAAGAAATGAGATTCACATCAATGAATTTAATTAAACGGTAGGAAAGACCATATAATAATCGGTTCCATACAAATTTGCATATACACACAGACGAAAAGGTGATCATTCAATGTTATTGTCAATGTCACTAACTCCGATGATTAAATTAATTAGCCTCGTAACAAGCAAATAAGAATGTATTTATATGATCGGTTTTTATATAGAGTGCCCATGAGCACTCTATAAAGGAGGAGAGAGATAGAGAGAAATGAATAGCTCATGGCCCCCCTGATTTGCATTAATTTCGGTGCATAATTCATTTCTTTCTATCTCTCTCATCTCTTATAAAGTGCCCATGAGCACTCTATAGAAAAATCGTTATACGATTTAGTTATGTGTTGCTAAAGAGTTAATTTAAGGTTATCATTCTAGTACTATCTATATATTTTGTCATGACTGAGTCGAAGGTTTTTGAGGATCTTTCTAATAGTCCATATATGTTATAATAATCAAGTTCGTATGCATGAGTTTATCATATACAAATTGAGTTACATAATTGTTACGGTTAACTGATATGTGTGATTGTTATTTCCCATTTTTATTGTTTTGTTATTTAATGCTTATATATATGTCATAACTAATATAGCTCAACATTTCGATCTGGAACCTTTCTTGACATTACAACCTTATAATACTTTGGACAATATTGGTTTGACTATTTCGCCTATCTACATTAGATTAGGTACTGGCTGAACCTATTTGAGTCAACCATTGCAAAACCTCAATTGTTTGTTAGATATTTTTATTCTCGAACCAAGGACAAATTTCTTTACAAACTTCCCCATCCCAGTTAATGACACGTCTTTAGTAGGTGATAGTGGAAGTGGTTCTCTTGACTTGTGTTGTTTAGATATTAAATTCGACCAATGTCAATAAAGTCAATTCTACACTTGTATGATTTATTTATTTATATTATCAAACGAACATAGAGAAGGATGCTCGTAATATGCGCAGGTATATTTGATTATTAAGAATATCCCAAACCCAAAAACTCAAAATAGTGTAGTTTTTACACCAAATTGGTGTAGTTTTCACACCAAATCACTATTCCATTTCTAACACATTACACCAAAATTTACATCAAAAAGAATATTCCTTTTATTATTCTTATCTTTTAACATTTTTATCTATTTAAAATATTTAACAAATTATATAATTATTTACATATAATTAATTACAATAATATATTTTATGAATAAAATAAAAACATAAAAATTAAATGCTAAATCAAATTAAAATATTACTTTCATAAATTCAACTAAAGATTACATTTAACATTACAAAAAATTTTACATTCATAATTAAATGCTAAATCAAATTATAATAATATTTTTTATGTCCTAATTTATGTGTAATTTTTTTATGTCCTAATTTTTATGTTGTATTTTTTTTATCTAAATGTAAGTTTTTCTTATTTCTTCATTTGGTTCTAGTATTATGAAATTTTAAGTGTTTGGATTAAATTATCTATTTTTTCTTTTTAAAATTTATTTTAATAATTATTTTATACTCTAATTTCATTATAATAGTTAATATAAAATAATATATATTATTAATATAAATATAAAAAATAAAAGCAAACAAATAAATAGAATAAAATGGGAAATATAATGGATAAAATAAGACATGGTTGGAATATTTAATTTTTTATAAGAAACTTTAAGGGCAAACTTGGAGAAAAAAAAAATTCTATATCTACACTGTTATGCTATTCCTAGCGCAACACTGTAACAACCCTTTAAAATAGCGCTCAGTTTCCCGATCGGTTGGAGGAACGAATTGGCGTCAATTTAGGTTTTTGCGTCATTTTAGAACTCCGTTGGAGATGCTCTAAGCTAATGAAGAACTAAATTCTTTCAGCTAATAATAAAATTAGAAGACATCGGTCGCCACTGGAATTAAAAAATAATAATAATCTTGCAATAGCACTTCCTGTCTAAATACACACACCTTTGTTACATG